GATAATCTTGTTTTCTTGTGCCCAATAATGCATAATTTCATTTGATAAACACGTTTAGATTGAATGGTAATTTATAATCAGTCACAAGAACGTCGAATCTGAATCACTTGAAAAAAACACGGGGGTGCTTAACTTTTTTCCAGGTGTATATATACAAAGCTGTGAATCTTTATTATGTGTATTATGTGTTCTAAAAACTACAAATATTTTTCGTAATTCATAATTAGTAACTAACGTTTACAGATAAATACATATAATAGACATTACAACCAATAGTGAATGGTTGCTTGGTTCCTCAACAATTATACGTTCAATTTTCTATATGCCTATCAAAGCAGCAGTAATAAGTATTTCTAAGAACTTAAGAGTGAAAGAAAAGAAGAATTTATAATAATGATTGCTAATCCAGTGCCGACGAGGCCTTTCTATAGTAGCTTTCAATACTAGGGCTCATTGTGGTCTCTATTTTATTATAATTTTCCACAGAAAAGCTGCCAAAGCTCTCCTCGTCCTGATTCCTCTTCTTGGGATAACCTATGTGCTAGTCATTGTCATCCCAACCCAAGAGACAGCCCAAGTGGTCTTCACCTACCTTCAGGCAACCTTACTCTCGACTCAGGTATCTTCCTTCTACGGCAAAGAACCATTACGTTGTTTATATTTTAAGCTAACATTTACAAGACTTTTGTGTGGAAATCTATTACAATTAGAAACGAAAACAAACGCATCCGGTTGCGATAGAGAAAAGTGTATTGTAATATAATAACTAAACGAAATATTTAATTTCATTGATCTAGATTTTATTTTTGTAAGAGTATTTTTGTCAGAGCTTTTAGTATTAACACAATGAAAATATTTTATACAGATTCATAAACACTTTAACGTTTCTAAAATAGAAGTGTTAGATAAATTGGCCATCATCTTCATTTTAAGTATATACACATATAATATGAACGTGTATATATATATATATACATAATATATGATATATACTAAATTGTTTTGTTATGTTACTTTGGATTACACGTTCGGAGTAATATAAATAAAATAAATGCAAAAAAAAACTTGCAAAGTTTGCAGTCGACAACCTTTTCGAAAATTATTAAACAAAACCAAAGTAAAGAAGTTTACAGTACAAGTGCTCAGGACAATTACAAATAAAGTTGCTGGAATCCTGTTTAGAACAAGAGATATAATTTATCTGTGTTTTTAAGGCTTAAAACTTTCGTGAAAAGAAAACATTTATTTCAGTTTTCTGCTGATTTATTTTCTTTTCTTGTTTTAGGGATTTACAGTAGCTTTTTTATACTGCTTTATGAATGCCGAGGTAAGAAATACTTTTAAATTTTTAATCAATAACTTTTTGTTTTAATGTCAATGAGATTGTGTATAATTATTATTCGTTCAAGTTAAAATTACTTTAGAGTTATGCATTAGAATAGAAAACACTGTTATATATGGCAAAATAAAAGTCCAGCAATATGTATGATAAGCAAAAAATAATAATGAATGTGTTTACTTAATACCACCTGTTGAAATACAAATCAGCTTGAAATACAAATCAGTAAACAGTACGGAAATAGAAACATCCGCAGAAAACATGCAACAACAACGTTTAAACAATAAACAAAATATTAATTTTTTGAAGATAAATATAATCAAAAAGTCAAATTATAAGTCACTAAACTTGGTACATACGAAAAGAAGTTAAAAAATACGTAGTTTATTCTACTGTTTCTTACATATTTTAAATACATAGGCTACTCTACTGTTTCTTTCATATTTTAAATACGTAGGTTATTCTACTGTTTCTTTCATATTTTAAATACGTAGGCTATTCTACTGTTTCTTTCATATTTTAAATACGTATATTTAAAATATGAAAGAAACGGTAGAATAGCCTACGTATTTAAAATATGAAAGAAACGGTAGAATAGCCTACGTATTTAAAATATGAAAGAAATTATAGAGTAACCTACGTATTTAAAATATGAAAGAAACAGTAAAATAACCTGTAGGTTATTTTACTGTTTCTTTCATATTTTAAATACGTAGGTTACTCTACCGTTTCTTTCATATATTAAATACGTAGACTATTCTACCGTTTCTTTCATATTTTAAATACGTAGGTTATTCTACTGTTTCTTTCATATTTTAAATACGTAGGTTACTCTACCGTTTCTTTCATATTTTAAATGCGTAGGCTATTCTACTGTTTATTTCATATTTTGCAAATAATGCGGTCTTGAAGTCTATACCAATATTGTGTTAAGTTCAATATTTGTGACATGATCTTTTTTTATGCTTTTTTGTTGGCTTTATATTGTTGTTATTCTGCTGTGTCTAAAGTTATACGTTGGCTAGCAAGCAACAAAACATATTAAAAATACTAATCATTGAACTACATATAAATTTATCTCAGGTGATAAATAATACTGAACCATTTTTATGTACGATCTACGTCATCGTTTTCATCATATCATTTGTAAAGTAAAATTTATTCTTTCTGTGTAAATCTTAAATATCTTCATTAATTCCAGATAACTTGAAATTATATTCTGTATTAATCAAGATTTCGGCAAAATATTGGCGAAAATTAGTTTACAAATATTTACGTCTTTTGTAAAACCTTCTGTTTTTGTAGAATAAACATTTTCAAACAAGACACAAATATTAAATAATAAAAAAGAAAATAAAATATGGAAGGAGCGAAGTTTTATCAGGCAATTATTTTAGTTCGTATATTTCTTGTTGTTGATGTTGTTTAATCACTTCTTTACTCTTTCCTTCTGTATAGGTTTGAACAACAATTTTATTGCTCAAAAGATCATTTTTATGCCTGATTTTAATAAAAAAAATATCACTGAGAAATTTTACAAGATATATTTCGAAAAATAATGTCTGTCCAATCGACTGTAATCTATAGATAATCCATTACATTCTTAGATGAAAATAGATAAAATTATTGGAATTAAAAATTGTGAATAGTAAGACATTACTGTAATATATAAATTCAATTTACAAATCCTTAGAAGTAAATACTTCTAGTACTTATTGCACTTCTACTTCTAGTACTTATTCTAGTACTTAGTACTTATATAAAAATATATTATAGGTTTTGTTCAAATTTCTTTTTAATCTTTATTTTCCAGCTTCATTTTACGTACCATTGTTTGGGTGTGATATTCTTTTTCTGATAAAACTAACTTGTCAACCAGTTACGTTTTTGTTAGGTACATTTGCCTAGTATTCATTAACCATACGAGTATTTCTTTTGTTTAATTTTTAGAATATTTGGGTTGGTAAAACGAACAGCTGGCAATGTTCGAATGAAATTATTCCTGCTTAATTAAGGAATTGCCAATAAAATACATTTTTTGCCCATTTTTGGCGAACATTCTATATTCTCTGATATACAAAAGAATAGCAGTTAGATGAAGCAATGCTACACTATTTGTGACCAGTCAGAAATGAATTTAATCGTTACGCATCCGTAAACAGCGTAAAGTGATTTTAGAAAAGGTATTGAGTACCGGCATAGAAACCTTTTTACCAAATTAGAAATATTAAAGAGAATACAGTAGCTCAGTTTTTAATCTAGAAATTTACACCTTTGACCAACCTAATAATCCATGTTACAACTGTGTGCTATATATCAATATAACGTAATACATTCAAACCTGAGTGTATCAGTTAAACAATGGCCCCTTACTGTCGTATAAAATAGTACTAGTGCTATGGGAATTGATTCGGGATTATATATATTGTAGTTGAAAATGAAGGAAAGACACTATTGAAATCGGTAATATACGAGTATATAACGAAATTTATGTTATAAGCAGTACTTGAAGAATCTTCAAAATTTGTTTATGAGAAACTTTGAATTACTATTTATAGTGTCAATAAAATGTTGCAGCAACTACTCAAATAAAATACTAAAATAATTTATTCGTAAGTTAGAGAGTTGCTACTTCCATGCAATTAAATTCAACTCTAATACGGCCGCGAATAATCCAAGTTTGTCTAGAAAGTTTAAGGAAACATCCCAACGTGATTAATAATAATTTGAACTCATACATCGCCAGGAAGAAGTAGCATTTCAATTAAATATTGTTCGATGGGTGTTATTAGCAAAACTTATGTTTTACTCATAGTTTTTACTGTTAACTTTTATGTAGGTCTAAGTATAATGATTTTATTTGGTAAACTTATCTTGTGATACTAAACTAAACTATCACTTTACCAGTTGTCTTAATAATCATTTTATTTACTACAATAAAACTCGAATCTTTTGTTTACACTTTGAATAGTTATAATTAAACTCTGTATTCTAGAAGTACAAGAGAATTCTTTCGTTTTGATAATGGAGTATTTTTAGTTTTAATGATATCGAAATTAAACTTAAATTTATTTCACATAACGTTGTCACTCTCATTTGTTATTCTCCTCTCTGCCCTTTCCTTCTATTGATTGAATAGAATAATTTTGGCATAGCCCTCGAGGTAACGAACGTTCTGTTGATAATAGCAAAGCTAATAGAAATATAACTCGCATTTATAGACATATTTATTAAAGTCATTCCTAATGGTGACTAAATAATATGTCGAAACATGTAGAATGTATGAGACTGAAGTTTTATCTTTATATAATAGATTATTCGGTAAATGTTTTATTGTATTTTGAGACTGTAGACAGTCTCATTTAAAAAGTTGTAATTTTTACTATAACTGTGACGTATACAAAATTGCACACAAGTATCATTTTAACTATAATAACTTTAAAGTCAAACGATTTGATTTATTGGAAAGGGTTCAGTGGAGGGCTACTAGAATGATTCCGGAAAATAAAGGGTTATCTTATGGGGATAGATTAGTATCTTGTAACATATTTTGTCTTGAAAAAAAAGAGAAGGGTAACGGGTGATCTTATTGAAGTTTACAAGATTATCTGGAAGAATCAATAAGATAAAAGCCTCTGATTTCTTTTTGCTATATTCTGAAGATAATAGAATGAGAAAACAAAAACTTAAGATTTAGAAAAGGCAGGCAAGGCTTCAGTTAAAAGTGTTTATGGCTAATGGTTGTAGTAACGGAGGCCATCTACTTTACAAGAGTTTAAGAGTGAAATCGACAATATCCTATAAAATAAAGGGTGGGTTTAGGTTTTTACTTTACCACTGTTTCTGTAGTGATAACTTGAAGGACCAAATTACTCCTTGTTGTCTCGAATCAGGTAAAATTTGTACCCTAAAAGTTTGGTTTTAATGTAATTAGTGTAACCAAAGTCATAATTTTACGTCAAGATTATAACTTGACGAATGTTTAGTTTAAAAAAAAAGAGGTACTGACAAAAATTAATTTCATTATTTTCTGGTATATCTAAGTATGTATATGTGTATATATATATATTTGCTTCTGTAGGTACGGAACACCCTTCACTATCACTTGAACCGCTGGCGAACGTTGCGTAGTGTTAAAGAGAGAAGGAGTGGCACCGTCAGTTCAAGAAATAATCGCTTTGGTGAAAGCATGAAAACCTTCGCCACTGACGTGAAAGAAAACTGCAGCTACGCCACTACCACGTCAGTTGTTAGTGGTGGCTACAACTTCACGGAAAGGCCAAAAAGCAGTAAACGTTCAGCCCAGATAACTATTGAAGAAAGAGACTTTGTTTAAATATTGGACGGTGATATAAATACTTGAACATGTGCTGATCATATTCACGAAACATTTTTATTCGTCTAATTTCAGTATTTACACCACGGACCAAATTAAACATCATTGTTCGATATAAAATTATACACATTAGTAGTAGCCCAGAATAGTGATTGGAAAGATTTAGATCAACAAAACTAAAAATCTGTCCGGAAACCCTTCTAATTCAACTGAAAAGCAGAGTTTTAAAGAAAACAAAAAGCATATAGCTAAGTATATTTATATATATCAAACGACAATTCTGCCCTTTTCTTCGTCATTGCTACGATGTCCAGTTACTGTCACAACCAACTAACAATGGACATATATAAACAATGTTGTTGTTTTTTTCAATTATGCACAAAGCTAGACAAGGGCTATCTGTGCTCTGCCCTCCACGGGTATTGAAACCCGGTTTCTAGCGTTGTAAGTCCGCAGACATACCGTTGTGCCACTGGGGGGCTATAAACAATGTGTGATTTAGTTATGTATTTTCTGTAGTTCAAGTTTCATTTGGTAATATTATTTTCATCTGTATTATTCACGCAGTATTGACTCTGTTCTGACCCTCTCCAACAGGAAGAAAGGTCTGGATTACCATTATATTTTACACGTGACAAACATATTTTTTATCAACACTTGCACAGCATCACTTGAACTGTGAATTTTCGTAATATAAACCAATTTATATTTAGTAATTAATGTAACTTATCAAGATATATTGAGGAAAGTCTTCAAGCCTTAATCTAACAAACTTTACTCTTATTTGCCATAAATTCAACTATAATTATCAGTTAGCGACACAGGAAAACAGCCACTATAGTTGTGTGTTTGCGTATAAACTTTCCAAACAACTGGTCCAAAAGCAAAACGGCCTACATACAAAAAAAACAGACAAATAAAACTAGCATACGAAACTACAATGTGGGAAGATAAAATGTACCATAATAAGACAGGTATTTCCTGAAGTATATGACCCAATCGACAATATTGATACACCATCTATGAAATTTAAACCTCTTCACAGTCTCACGGGAGAAATAACTTAGAAGTAAAATAAATAAATAAACTATTCAGAGCAGAAATTGGTGCTCAAGTTTACAAAGTCCCGCTCTTAGAACCGCTATTCACTGCCAGCAGGTAGGCAGTGAGAAAGCAGTTGCTCCTAATAAAACAAAAGAGCAACAGAAAGTAATTCAAAAAAAAAGAAAAGAAAAGAAAGAAAAGAGAAATTGGGCAATTTGTCTCCTGGAGTTGGAATTCCAACATAAATATTGCAGTTACATTCCTGTGGGAATAGTAATGAACCCTAACCGAGGTAAATAATTAGTCCTATTACAAAAATTGAAAATTAAGTTTATACTCCAAAATCCTGCACCAGTTTTAACCCTGACCAGGTATATTTCTTTGATTTCTATGTGCGAAAATTTTTGTTTTTTGCCTACAGTCGTTTGACTTTACTGTTATTATCCACAAGATAAGAGGTGTTGTGGTATTACGCGCTCTTTCCTTTAGATGTTAATATTGAGTGTTGTATAAAGTTGTAAGCTATATAAATATATATATATATACTTTGTAAAAAGGGTAATTCTGTCCGATATGTGTGAGTGATTATTTTTCGTATCCTGTTATCAGCTTTTAACCATTTCTTATGTAAATAGCTTGCAGTATTGGGTAAGTGTATAAGTGAACAAATAACAATAAAATATAAGGCGTATTTCACTACTATGGAATCCATCTTTTTCTGCAGAGTTAGTTGTTCTTTTTCTTATTACTTTTGTTATTGCTGGAGTTGTTCTATTTTTGTCTTGAATCTAGAAAACTACTCTATAAAACAAGAAATAAAATAATAACTTCTAAGATTTTAGGAAAGAACTATTTTTCACATACATTACATACTTTAAACTGTAAAATCTTACAACAGTTTTTACTCTGATCGGGTATCTGAAACTACTTAATAAATTACTTGCGACAGTTGTTCTAAAGATGAGTTATCGACAGTTGTTCTAGAGATGAGTTGTGTACAATTGTTCTAGAGATGAGTTAGCGACAGTTATTCTAAGATGAGTTATCGATAATTGTTCTAGAGATGAGTTATCGACAGTTATTCTAAACCTGAGTTATCGACAGTTGTTCTAGAGATGAGATATCTACAACTGTTCTACAGATGAGTTACTGACATTGTTCTAGAGATGAGTTATCTACAATTGTTCTACAGATGAGTTGTGTACAATTGTTCTAGAGATGAGTTAGCGACAGTTATTCTAGAAATGAGTTATCGACAGTTATTCTAAGATGAGTTATCGATAATTGTTCTAGAGATGAGTTATCAACAGTTGTTCTAGATATGAGTTATCGACAGTTATTCTAAAGATGAGTTATCGACAGTTATTCTAGAGATGAGTTATCGACAGTTGTTCTATAAATGAGTTATCGACGGTTGTTCTAGAGATGAGATATCGACAGTTGTTTTAGAGATGAGTATGTACAGTTGTTCTAGAGATGAGTTATGTACAATTGTTCTAGAGATGAGTTATCGATAATTGTTCTAGAGATGAGTTATCGATAGTTATTCTAGAGATGGGTTATCGATAATTCTTCTAGACATGAGTTATCGACAGTTATTCTAGATGTGAGTTATCGAAAGTTACTCTAGATGTGACTCATCGACAGTTTTTCTTGAGATGAGTTATCGATAATTGTTCTAGAGATGAGTTGTGTACAGTTGTTCTAGAGATGAGTTATCAACAGTTGTTCTAGAGATGAGTTGTGTACAGTTGTTCTAGAGATGAGTTATCAACAGTTGTTCTAGAGATGAGTTGTGTACAGTTGTTCTAGAGATGAGTTATGTACAATTGTTCTAGAGATGAGTTATCGACAGTTTTTTTAGAGATGAGTTATCGACAGTTGTTCTACGAAGTGCTAGATTTTCCAATAATACTGTGCCTAGGGCCTACGAAAAATTATTAGTTGACTCAAAATTAAGAAAAGGAAATTGCTAAATCAAACTTAATAATTTGCTTTGATTCGATTACTTTAAAAACCTGCCTTTTTATTATAGTACATGTTCAAATGTTGAAGTACATATACAAATACATGTTTATTGTTAGATGTAATTGATATTTCACATGATATTTTGAAATATGTTTGAAGCATATTATGGATCCTTCACACAATTGCTGACTTGTTTCAAGAAAAATCTCTTTAGTCAACAAGCAACATACAGGTATAATATGTCTTAAGTAAATGTAAATTAAACATTAACTTTGCAGATCTTTTTGTTAGCTAAATCACAGATTAAATCTTCAAATTTCATTTTTCACAAAAAGCACATTCTCAATTGAGAATAGTACAATTAAATGCTGTAAGATGAGATTTCTGCTTGTTCAACATGCAGTTTGAGACTTTTCTTTTAGCTATAATTGATTTATCTTGTACTATATCTGAAGAATATGCCTTAAGATTAAAGTAATTCTAACGTCTGTTTCATTTTTTTAGTATTTTTCAAAACAATACATTGTCTGAAATCAAGTAAATTATCACAAACTGTCATGATGTCACTCTGAAAAATCTTTTTAAAAACCATTATATATCGAACACTGACATCATACATGAAAAAATGTACAATTTATGAGTGATGAGAAAATCATAAGTAAAATTATTAAGTTCTTTGAAAGATATTATTCTTATTTTGTTTCTCAGTTTTGATGTATTCGTTACGACAGCGGAAGTCACGCAACGCTTGGAGCATGCGCGCTGGAGTCTCTCGAAGGATCATGAATTTTCCTGGCAACTCTAGTTTGTTCCAGGCGCCCTCTGTTTTAGT